GAACCAGGGATTGAACTCAGGCCCTTGCGCTTGCCAGGGAAGCGCTTATTCCACTGAGCCATATCCCCAGCCCCAGGACTTCAATTTTGATAAAATTCTGTATATAAACTTTTTCTTCAGTTATATTCATTTAAATTGACCACTGAAATTGAAATGGCTGTTGGACTCAAAATTTTGTTGATTTCATCATGTTCTAAATATATACGGCCAAGGATATACCTCAATGCAGCACCTGCCTGGCAAGTGTGACTTCATGAGTTCAATTTCTGATACCTAAAAAATAAAATTAAATACATAAATTATTTATGTATTAAATTTTAAAGGTAATCGTTCATTAGAGAATTATGAATCTGTCATTCAACTCCTGGAAATAAGGGTTTCATATATCATGGACATAGAACATGATCTAATTAAAGTAATGATGTACACTAATTTAAATATTACTTTTATTGCCTAAGTATCGTATAATTGATCCATATCAAGCCATAATAAGTCGTCAAAGTAGATACGATACATGGACTTATCCTGGGCTTGTAAATGGCAGTGCAGGTCTAGTTTGTGCCATCTTTCTCGATTAGACTGAGTGTTGTAAGATCAGAGCTGGGGATGTAGCTTAGCGATACACCCCCTGCCTGGCAAGTATGAGGCCCTGAGTTTTGTTCCTTGTTAAAAAATTTTTTAAAAAAGACTATGGCACATATTACTAGCCAAATAAACATCATAGTTTAAAATTTAGAGTACAATAGAATGTGTATTGCTTTGGCATATTGGAAAATCAACAAAAAGTCCTGATCTAGAGTATAACCTAGGAATTGTCTGTGCTAGCAATTGTATTCATCAGTAATCTTCTTGACATTGGATTTATAAGATCAGTTTGAGAATCTTGCCTTTTTTTTTTTTTCTTTGCAGAACCGGGGATTGAACTCAGGCCCTTTCGCCTGCCAGGGAAGCACTTATTCCACTGAGCCATCTCCCCAGCCCCAAATCTTGCATTTTTAAATTCAACTCTAATTCTTTTCTTGTTTTTAAATGATTATTAAGTAAAGACTAGGTGATTAATTATTGGAACTGTCCCACTAATTTGATTTGAAACTGTCTCATTGCTATTTGTTTCTCAATAAAATTATAGAAAAAATAGATACATTTTTAAAAAATACTAGGTGAAAGTCTTTGCAATTATAATTTTATTGTTTGAGGTTAGATGGTAGAAAATATCCCAGATTTGACACAAAAAAACCCCCTGCATTTTAGAGATTATTTCAAATAAGATATTCTTCTCAGCATAAATAGTAACTCTCTGATATTATAGTTACAGTTTATTTTCTAAACATTTATATTAATTCTTTTCACCAAAGCTTAATGTAAAATCTTGGGAAAAAAATTCTTTCTTACAGTGCTGATCCCTTGTCCAACATGGTTCTCACCTTCAGTACCAAAGAAGATGCAGCTGCCTTTGCAGAGAAAAATGGTATGGTATATTTGGGTTTTTTCATTCACGATATGATTTTATATTCTTAATGTTAATTAAAGCTATTTAGGAATATAGAATGTGAACTGAAAGAAAGCTTCTAATGAATCTAAATCAGTGGTATTTGTATTTATTACTGCATCAGAAAAATCTAAAATATAGTACCCAATGTTACTTGTAAAAGCCAAAGTGCTCTAATTTGAAGGGGCAGGTAAGAAAGCCTCTTGTCTAAAACTTGCCTCATTGCTGAATCCCTCTGAGTAATAACTAAAGTTTGTTATCTTAAATCCTAGTTGAATTTATCATAAAGTAACTTATTCAGTTTGGATGTCTCTAGTATCTTACTTCGAACCAAAATTTTTTATCTAGTCCTCCATTAAATCTCTCTTTAATTACTTGAAAATGTTTTTCTGTTGTTGGTTTTTTTTGGTTTTGTTTTGTTTTTTTCTGCAAAGCTTTGTTCTGGAGGGGCGCAATCCTTCTTGGCAGCTGCCTTCCTCACGGCGGCCAGCACGTTGCTCAGCTCCTCACACTTCCTCTTGGCATGGATGTGCATTCCCGCCCTTTTCTTGATGAACTTGAGGGCACATTTGTCCTTGGAGACTTTGAGCAGCTCTATGATGCACCACTCATAAGGGGCAAAGCCACACCCCTCCCGGATTGTGTCCTGCATGCACTTGGTGTGTTTAGTGAGGCATTTGCGACAGAGGCTGTGCCTGGTTTGCTCACATTCTTAGTCACCTTGTGGCCCTTGTTGAGGCCCACAGCCGTGGGATAGTGGAGGGGGGGCCATGGCTACTGGTCTTCAGTGGTTGCTGTAGAGGATAAAAATGGTTATTAATTATATTAACTCTTAATGTTGTCTTTAAACTATTTACATTTTCTACTTTTCTAGATATGGTAGGCCTGATACCAATTATAATCTCAACTGTACAATTATATTAATGCAGGCTAAAAATATAGTAGCTTTGGGGACATGTATGTTACACTGTTTGTTTACATTGGTCTTGTTATCAGCAAAAATGCAAAATATCTTTTTCCCCCTTTCATTTTCTGCTGTTAAGCCCACATAGATTAGTGAAAAGAAGCATGGAATAAGACCAATCCATGTTCTCATTCCTATTACACCTTTGAAATTGTATGATTTTGAATGAATTGCATAGTAGATGTATGTTTTTTCATATTTGAAGTAGTATTTATGTGGTAGGAATATATATGTACCTACTCCATGGACACTTGTTAATGATGGGTTCTGACTCTCACCTTGTTCCTATTTCTGACCCTTATTTCTTCCTGCAGGGTCACATACACTTTGTAACATGTGAACCTAATGCATTCTGTTTGACATGTTGAAAAATCTCCAGAATTTAGCATTGCAAAAGATAGGTTCTAGTTGGTCAGATTGAATTTGACCATACTTCTTCCTCACTTTATAATATACAGCTTATGATGAAAGCCAGGTATGTAGTACAGTGACAGAACTCAGGCTTAGCATGCACAGAGTTCAAATTGTGATCCTCAGGACTATACCTTCCAAAAAAAAAAGTCTAAAACAGAACTACCTGGATTTGAGTCCATATTGAGTAATTCATTTTGTATTTGTTTCCTCTTAAAAAAAAAAAAAAAAAAAATTGGTGGTGCATGCCTGTGATCACAGCGCTTGAGAGGCTGAGGCAAGAGTATCACTGCAAATTTGAGGCCAGCCTGGGCTACATAGCAAAAGCTTGTCTCAAAAACACCTGTGTGTGTGTGTGTGTGTGTGTAAAGTATACATATATATATATATATACATACATATATATATTCAATATATATAAAGTCACATGCTTAAAATAGGATATGACCCATAGTAACTATATAATATGTCAGATATATCCAATTATGTTGTTAGTAATAGACTTTAAAAAATTTTTAATATAAATATAATTCCATATTAGCCTTTTTTGGCAAGTTCTAAATTTCTTAATTACATAAATGTTTTAAAAATGGTCTGTCCTTTAAGTTATTATTCTCATTTTAAACAACATTATCAAAATTATTTTAGAGTATTTGAACTAAACTGTAATATAGTTATCAAAAACAGTTCTATTAATGTTTTCTATCCTTCCTGCCATATTTCCTGTCTGACACCTTGAAAATTACTCATTTGTGGTCTATAATATGAGTTTAATAGTAAATTAATTAAATTGCTGGTTCATCTCTAAGTGGTCACAAGGACTACATGACTACAGTTGTTATGTGAATTAATAGATATTAACAAACCACTGCTGCTGTTGAAATCAGCTGTCTTTCCAATCTAATTTTTATGTTCCTAGGAAAGAAAATTTAGTAAATTATCAAAGTCATTAGAAAATATAATTTGAACAAGCTTACTTAGTAAACTATGGGCTAACAGGATCAGGATTTTTGAACTGTGATACAGAAAAAATACGCGTATCTTGGCTACTGGTTTGTCAGCAACATCTTGCACAAAATTTGACATATAATGGACAATTAGTGTCTGGTGAAGTTACAGATATTTCTTCAGCATTTATAGCCACTCTTTCCTGGGAAAGTTTTCACGATTAGTCCACCCTTCAATTCACTGTGGTGTTTGTCACCTACCTGATTTCACATTTATCATTATGTTTCCTTAACTAGCTAAGCTCTGCTTCTTCAGCTGCAGTAGAACCAAAACCTAAATGAACACAGATTGGCATGTTACAGAATCGTAAGATGGAGGATTGCTACCAAATTCCCCAGCAAGCACCTCCATTTAGATTCACTCCTGTTGGTAAAAGGTTGGAGGAATATGAACCTGGATCTTCCTTCCACACCTAACATGTTGTTGTAAGGTAGTATAGTTGAAGGTTTTGGTAATTTGAGGCATTAAAAAAATTTTGTAAGTCCTGCTATGTAAAAACTACTGGGTTAAGAGGTTGGTTCCTGGGCTGGGGTGTAGTGCTTAGCTGGTACATATGTCCAAGAGCATGGGTTCAGTCTCCAGCCCCGCAAACACCCACAGAGCGGGAGCTGGGATTCTGAGTCCACAGTCTTCATCCTCACAGGACAGCTTGAAAGAATTATGCTTCACTACACAGAACCTTTGATAAACACATTTGTTCATATCTGGAATGAGAGGGTAGTAATTGGGGTAACACTCAAAATTGAATACTACAAAGATGTTATGTCTGTGGACTGTGTTACAGTTCTGTCATTGTCTATTCCAGTAACCTACTTGTATCTTCTAACAGTGAATGGATTTTTCTTGATACAGGTGATTCTGTGTTCATAGTCCAATCCTTCATAAAAGTTGTGCATTTATGGACATTAAATGCCACTTTTTAATATTACTAGAAATAGGTTAGCATAATACCACATAAAGAAAATTTACTCAGGGACTATTCTGAAAATGAACAACATTACCTTCTTAGTTTTCTCATTTCCCACAGGTCTAAATGTTAGAAAAAAGTCATAATCATTGTTCCCCTTAGTATAAAAGATCATATTGTAGAGACTCAGTATAATGAAGAGTAAGATTGTCAGATTTAGTTACTTTCTAGAAAATAGACTAGTGCCCTGTAATTAGATTTTGAGAGTCAGGCAGCAAATATCATCATTACAAGAGCTAACATTCAGAGACACTAAGTAGTAATCCTGATAACAACTCTATGAAGCATGAAGAGCTATTATCCTCATTTTATAGTTCAAGGAAACTGAGGTTTACAGACATTAAGTACCAAGTCACATACTTATTAGTGAGCAAGATTTATTTGAAAACAGTCCTGTTCATTCATTTATGTATTTCTGTGGTGGCTTTTCCATAATAGTGGTAAAGTAGAGTAGTTTGATAGAGACTATATGGCCCCCAAAGCCTGAAAATAATTACTGGTTGGCCCTTTCCAGAAAAAGGTTAGCTAACCTCTGGTTGCCTAAACCATTAACATAGTGCCTTGAAATTCTGACATTTTAATACATTCACAAGTACACTGTACTATATTCAAACATCTGCAAAGCTCTATGCTGACAAATTATTTAATTGATAAACAGTGTCACAATATAAACACTAACTTGTCACCAAAGCACTGATCTACCTGTGCTACTGTAGGATGATGCAGGTGTTGTTTCTGCCATTCTCATTCATACTTACTCTCTTTCTTAACTCTATCCCTACCTGTGAAATTCATCTTTGTCCTTAAAACCAGCTTCATATGCAAGGTCTTTTCCCAATACTTGGTGTGGTATGGTGCTGGAAATTGAACGCAGGGCTTTGCACATGCTTGGCAAGTGCTATATCACTTGGCTACATCCCTGGGTCGCTTTTCTTATTCCACCTCCCCCAACCCCGTCTCTTACCCTTACTGGATGAGCTCTGATGTCCACAACACGGCATAGCCTTCATGCTCACACTGTGCTGTCTTATCTTGCCTACTGAATTATAAGCACCTGCAGGGAAAATATTCTCATTTATCTTTAATCTGATCAATAAATATTGGTGAATATAAGCAGCAAATTTAGTGATCTTGTGTATTATTTTCCAAATTATTTTAAACTTTTCTGTAAATCACTTTAATTTCTGCTTTTCTTTCCTAGTGGACCTTTCAGTCCCCTTTGGAAATCTGAAGAAAGGAAACTAATAGAATGATTAACAAATTATTTTGTAAGGGAGAACAATTTTCATTTTTCCCCTGAAGATTTGATAAGAGTCTGTGAAATAAACTGATAATAAAATATGAGACTGAAGACAAGTCAGTGTTAAATAGAATCTTTTTAAAAAGTTTTTGAGGAGTCTCCATACTGATTGATGATTTCCATAATGGTGTATACTATTCTACATTCCCACTAACGACATAAAGGGTTCTTTTCCCCCTTAGCCTCTCCTGAATTTGTTAGTATTTAATTTGTTGACGATAACCATTTTTTGTGGAGCAAAATGGAATCTAAATATTGTTTTAACTTGTATATCTCCAGTGACTAGAGATTTTGAACTTTTCAGTGCATGTGTTAGCCATTTGTATTTT